AACCCTTTTACTGAACCCTGACCAGAACCCCGACCAGAACCCTTTTACTGGACCCTGACCAGAACCCTGACCAGAACCCTTTTACTGAACCCTGACCAGAACCCTGACCAGAACCCTTTTACTGAACCCTGACCAGAACCCTGATCAGAACCCTGACCAGAACCCTGATCAGAACCCTGACCAGAACCCTTTTACTGAACCCTGACCAGAACCCTGATCAGAACCCTGATCAGAACCCTGACCAGAACCCTGATCAGAACCCTGATCATAACCCTGATCAGAACCCTTTTACTGAACCCTGATCAGAACCCTGATCAGAACCCTTTTACTGAACCCTGACCAGAACCCTGACCAGAACATGTCTCAGTAGTTTCCTGCTAGACGTCTGAACCCTGTCAGAGGCTAAAACCCTTCGGTGATCTGCAGCCTGACGTCTGGAGAGATTTGTACAGAATCAAATAGGGAAAAAGAGCCGATGAGACTCTGGAATTAAAACCGTCTGGAGATGAGGTCCAAACCTCATCCAGACACTGAATGGAAGCAGAAACCTCAGACTGGTCCTGATCTCCATTTTCTAGCTTTGGTGAACCTGATGAAACCAAACATGGATCCATGATATCTGACTTTAATTCAGTCGATACATCTTCACTGAATATTTATCACATTTTTAGTCTGCTTCTCCAGAACCAAGCGGTTTGGATCCAGATCATCAAACCCTGCTGAGATCCTGAAGGTCTGGAATCAGTAAAGCTCCTGCAGACTGGATGGTTTGTTGATGGTGGTGAAAAAGGAAAAGCAGGAAGCTGCTGTGAGGATGGAGCAGCTGCCCCTCCCCCAGCTGTCCATCTGGAGGCCCGGATGTTGATGTGCTGCTGGATCTGCTTCAGAGCGGCAGCGTGTCGCTCAACTGGGTGGATTTGCTGACCGCCCGGAGTCTCCTGGAGCAGAAGGTTCACGAAGCCGGGGGGGTGGGGGGTGTCCAGTCAGTCCAGCCAGCAGTGGACATGGAGACAGGAGGCCTACAGGGGCATCAGCTTGGTGGTTTGGAACAGGAGGGGGTTGAGGTCCTCGGCCTGAACGGCCCGGTGGAGCGACGGCTCTGAGCGGCTTCGCTCGATTTTTGGCAGCAGTTCTTGGACCTGCTCGATGGCTACGAGGATCTGAGGAAGACGACATGAAACAGAGACACGGTTCAACGGGAGAAGAAAACTGATGTCCCCCTACCTCGGCCCTGACCCGGTACTACTGGGAAGGTCCCTCGCTCCTGGTCAGAACCATCCAGCAGAGTCTTTTGTCCCTTAGGACTAAAATCAACCATATGCAGTAAACTGTCAGGCAAATAGATCTAAAGCACAAAGTATTATCAGTTAAAGGAGCCTTCTTCCATCCAGGACATATCAACACTTAGCTTAGCTTAATACCGAGTCTAAGGTTACAAACCTCAGAAACAGAAATACTTAAATGATCCAAAAAAAAATAAAAACTCTTTAAGAGGCATATCTTTTCTTTCTCCATTTTCAAAATGTTATTTTAAAGCAGCAAACCACCTTTCAGCCACTAGAGGCACTAGACCTGTACTTCCAGAATTAGCGCCCTCTGAGGGCCACTGGCAGCTACATAAATCAGTCTGACTTGGTGCTCTGGTTGACTTGGTGCCAGTTAGGTTGGACCAACAGGCCAGTTAATGGAAAATTCCGGTTTTTAACACT